TGCCCTGGCCTGGACGACCCATGGCACCGTACTCAGAGACGGGTTTGGCAAATTTGTATACTAGCTAGCTAGTCATGCGTTAATTGTTGTTATGTGATCGAAGTCAATATAGTGAATCTCTCACCATCTAGTAGGTCGTTATGCTATACAAGCTTAGCTACGACCATTCCCTTAAAACTAATGTACCCAACTAAGAAATTCTGACCGTTGAAGCATGATCAAAGTGACCCATCTTACAAACCTGTTCGATCAGACCATTTGTCAATCCGTTTCATGGTTCGGATGGTTTAATGAGAGAGTTGGGGCCCTTAATTGATGAAGCTTGAGTGCAGCTGGGCCTGGCCTGAAGAAGATAAAGATGCAGTCATCGTCTGGGTTTCACGGGCAGCAAAAATTGACCACACTCCAGAGTCCCGACCATAGTACCATAAACAACAAATAGCTCCTGACTTTATACGTATGCAGAATCCTAACCCAACCCATAACTAGGTTGGCTCCTTTACACAATCTCACCCACATAACAACAGTCTTGCCTTTGTCACCCACTCGCCCACTCTCCACTCTCCACTCCATTATATGCATGGTCTATCATCTATGACAATTGACATCAATTATATATATATAATTTTACATATCAACATCGTCATCTATCTATCTATATAGGTTTTAATTTGTGAAGTAGATAAAAAGAAAGTGAACAACGTAATTCTGCTAAACAACATTAAGAAAAGCGATGGAGCTGGTCCAACAAGTAAGTAAGCCTGTTTGTAGTAAATCCTCAACGAATAAAAAAATTAAAAATCAATCTATATATTCTTTTCTGGGATTACTCCATCACCCGAATTAAATTAAAGAAAGAAAATACAAATCCAACGCAATCGATCTGCGATAATGAAAGGAATTGAATGTGGGGGCAAGAATACGACTCCCACGCAGAAAAGTGGATTCTTATTAACAGGAGGACCACAGATATCACGTCCTAGGTCAGAATCACAGGCTCAAGACCCAAGTAGGTTTGGCTTTCTCTGAATGTTCACAATAATAAGTGCGTCATAAAAAGTGAAAAGCCAAAGAATAAAATCAAAACCAAGGTATTCTTACTGGGTCTTATCCTCTAATATCGATTTTAGAGGTGGAGAACGTCTGTCTCATCCTTTCCGTTTTCCATCCCCTGTCCCCACCACATGAACATTGACATAGACATAGTTCGAGTCCAGTCTACTTTTAAGTCTGATTTAACTGCACTCACTCCGGGAAAAAGAAACATTGGTACAAGCTTGGAGTTTGGACCACCACGGCACACAGACAATATATTCAGTTTCAGCCTATCTAGGTGCGTCACTTCTCTTCCCAAGATTTAAACCCAGATTCCTCTCGATCCAAATAAATGAGAATTACCGCCATCTTTTTATACCTAGTCTGGATCAAATCAATTGCTTATTGCTGCTGCACGTACGGTTTATCATCTTCCATCCCTTGCCATACTTTTCCTGTTTTCCAAGGTTTTCGATATCAGCCAGCGGCATTAAAACTAAAAATAAAGTCTAACAAGTGGTCAAAACCGACCATTAGTTAGAAACCGTCAAGTGATTGGGCAAAGTTATCAATTGACTAGCTGATTTGGTTATGATGAGTTATGACCTCACATGCTTCTAACGAGCTGATCTGAAATCAATTCATAACATGTATAAACAATACGAGGCCAAACTGATTACAACATTAATGTCAATGCATTCTATGTACGCCTAGTGCATATAATATGTCAATTGAGAATATGGCAAATGGACTGAGCTCCGACCTGTTGGTTCTTGAATAAAGGGCCCTCTCCTATAAATAGGTGAATCCCCCATTCATTTAGACAATGGTACTATGAACAAGGCACATTGGATATCTCGTCACACATGGAATTCACTAATTCTCCCAACAAGCTCTTCAGCTCATCATATGTACGAACTGAACTCTTCAATCCATTCATACAAGCTCCCAAAGGGCCCTCTACAGTTCATTTTATTTTTTCTGACTTAACCGTTGAAATCCATGCCCCCTGGAATCACCCAAAGCCGTAATGAGCCGATATGACATCTTATTCCGGCAACTTTCCATTATTGCCCTTGTGATCAATTTTCATCCTCATCGATTCACAAAGACACATATAATAATTTAATGTCCAAATAGAAATGAAGCCTTCGGCCTCTCTTTGCTGGGTAGTAGCACAACTTCCTGCGCCGATCATCCCCATCCACAGTCGGTCCAGGGGCACCGTGATGCGGAATTCTACAGAAGAACGAACATAAGGGTAAACGAGAGATGAGAGAGAACCCGGTGGTCAAAGGTATAAACGTGGAGTGGTGCGAAGGAGTTAAAAAGCACGTGCAGCGGGGAAGCATAGCAAGGTGCAGGCTGGCCCCGGCAATGTTGCCTGGTTGACCGGGGACAAGAGGGACGAAGGGGCATGGCTCGTGGGGCGCACTGTCGCACCCCGCCCGCACGCGTGTGTGCGTCACTACAAAACGACACCACCGGCTCTTTCCTTCTTCCCCCGGATCCCCCGACCCAAAAGGGCAAAAGGTCCTACTCCCATGTGACAGATTCTCCGGCCCGGCCGCGTGCCCGTGTAGGTTTCGGTGACGGATATTATCAGTGAAGTAGGCCGTTCGTTCAGTGGGTCCCATACAACCAACGGAGAAACCCTTATATAATCATCATCGCGCCAAAAGAGTCCTCCGACTCACGACTCACGAGGGATAGAGGAAAATTGAAAAAAGGGTCAATTACTTAGACGACACCCCGATAGTTTCGCTCAATTACTGAAACACCCCTTTTCGTTTGCATTTTATTAAGACACCTCAGCCTCACCATTTATATTTCCGTATGGAAATTGTCACATGAACAAACAGCACATAATAAGATCCATCAAAGACAATCATGAATCATTAATTTATCCATAGAATTAAAATAATTAATTGAAAATATAACAATATTATTTTTAGCTTTGAGCAAGAAATAAAAACAACGGGAAGAGATGACGAAAATGTCTACCAAAACGAGCTCATTTGGTTATTTACATAGGAGTATGAGGTAACTTTAATATTCTTTTTCTTTCTTTTGTAATTTCTTTAATCTCTCTTTATAGTACTGGATTTATTACTTTTAGTAACGAGTATTCATTCTAGAACCTGATTTGATGATGAACAAACACTGGTTATTGTCATGTATTCTGGGGTAGAATGGATGGAGGAGTTCTATAACAGATTGGGTGCTGAGCTTTACAAATTGAACCAGTTCAACAAAATTATAATGCTCAGTTTGGAAAAGAGTACAAATGCAAATATGTATAGTATAAATACATACAAAATATAAAGTCTTATACTCTACGTATTTATATTTGTATTCCTTTCAAATTCAGCCTAAAGAGTGAATTTATAAAGAGAAACTGAGAGGCGGAGAAACAAATAGCTTCCAATTCTTCTTGGGTTGAAGCAAGTAACTAATGAACTTCATCGGAAGAATTTCAAATCAAAATTGGACCTCGTAGCACTTCCTCTCCAACTTTGGTATGTCTGAAGTTCACGTTATTCAGATTTTTTTTCTTGCTCTCCACCTTTGTTTCAATATATTCATCATCACCATTAATTAGCTATATTTAGTGAAGAAATTGATTAACTAAGCTAATGTTTTATAGTACACAGAGATCCATACTGAATTTGAAGAGATATTGTAATTACAACTGATGACATGATCATTCCTGGAGAAAAATAGCAAGATTTAATGGTAGATAAAGGTATCATTGAGGATCGATATTCCGGCGACATCTCCGACAAGAGCAATCATGGGTTAAGTCGATGCTTTAGTTATGGGCAAAATCGGTATTTTGGTTCTTTCTTTTCTTTTTAGTTTCTATTCAATTAGTCAAACTGATGTTAATTGTCAAGGTTAGAAATGTCATTTTATTCTTTTATTTAAGAAATTCAATAATAAGTAAAACGCTTGCAAATAGACCTGTTCATCACGGACTGGGTTTTGCCTCTACATTAAATAGAATATACTTAGACCCTAACCTGGTCCGACCATTAGGCCTAAGTCTTGAGTCCAAATTTGACCAGAAATTTGGAAAAAAGATTTTTTTTTCTTGTTTTATTCAATTAAAAATTATTTTATTTATATTTAAAGACCTCAAAACCTAAAAATATAATGAAAATTTTCACTATTACTTAAAAAAATAAAAAAATATTATATATATTCTTATTTTTATTATATAATATATTATTAAATTAAACTCGGATTCGGAGTTAAGCCGAACTTTTTTGAAAAAGTTCAAAACCAGACCGATAAAAATCGGGCCCGATGTTTTAGATCCAAGCCCAAGGACTTGAAATCCTATCCAAGCCCGATTTTGATCGGGCCAGGCCGGGGCCAGCACGTCAGGCTACCCGGCCATGAACGTCTCCTTGCAAATTACAATTTACAAGGGACTTATAAGTAAAATATAAACGAAAAGGAGTATTTTAGTAATTGAGTGAAATTACAGGGGTGACCAAAAGTAAATGACCCAAAAAAGAAAGAAACAAATTAAAGCCTGAGCACCAATAATGTAGACGGTGGACATAAGGGGCCCACACATTCTGGTGATCCTCATTGACCTTTGACCGCCACCACCGTAGTAAAATCAAGTCATTCAGATTTCGGACCTAAATATATTTATGAAATTAATTAATGATGATAATGTGGTCAGTACTGGATCAGCCCGGGCAGGTAGAAGGTTTTCCATTTTAATTTTTGATTGACGTAAACGTGACTACTGACTAGGATTTTAGGCCTAAGTGGGGCCGGAGGAACAGGATACATTTGCGATTTGTGGCTTTGACCAGAGATGAACTCGGGTTAGAGTTTGAGTAACGCTTAGCACTCAACAATGGTCGACACACGTGTAGGGAGTCAGATAAGGGCAGTGCTCTTCTACGACAGTTGGTATGTCTCGTGTTCCTCCACTTCCATCGTATAAAGAGAAGAGAAAGCTGGACTGCTGGAGTGAAAGCAAAGGGGAGAGAGAGAGAAATAGCGTTAGCAGTGGGCATTCAGAGGAAGGCAGAAATAGAAGAGGAGGTGTCCTGTTAAAGTGAGTTGTCCTTTAGAATGTTTCAAGATTAAGGAGAGAGAAAAGGAGAGAACAAGTAAACAATTACACCAGAACAGAAGGAAACAGGAGAATGCCAGGGAGCCTGGAGCCGTTGGACGTAGCGGTACAGATCCCATACCATTTCAGATGTCCGATTTCGCTGGAGTTGATGCGGGATCCTGTCACGGTATGCACCGGTCAGACCTACGACCGGGCCAGTATCGAGTCATGGGTCGCAACCGGCAACACCACCTGTCCCGTCACCCGCGCTCCACTCTCCGACTTCATTCTCATCCCCAACCACACTCTCCGCCGTCTCATCCAGGACTGGTGCGTCGCTAACCGATCTCTTGGCGTTGAGCGCATCCCCACCCCTAAACAACCCGCCGATCCTGCTCTCGTTCGCGACCTACTCGTCCAAGCCTCTTCCAATTCCACCCCTCCCCACTCACGCCTCTCCGCCCTCCGCCGTCTCAGGGGACTCGCTAAGGACTCCGACAAGAACCGCTCCCTCATCTCCACGCACAACGTCCCGGAAGTTCTCCTTCCCATCGTCTTCGCCGGCCCGGAGAGCAACGAAAATGACGAGCTGACTCACGAGTCGCTCGCACTCCTGGTCATGTTCCCGCTCGACGAGGCACACTGCGAGTTCGTGGCTTCCGAAACGGATCGAGTCGCTTTCCTCTCTTTCCTCCTCTCCCACTCTTGTATCGAGGTCCGAGTCAACGCAGCTGCGCTCATTGAGATGGTGGTAGCGGGTACTCGATCTTTGGAGAACCGGATCCTAATTGGCAATGCCGACGGGGTATTGGAAGGGATAACGAGGATACTGAACCACCCGTTAGCATACCCGAGAGCGCTCAAGGTCGGGATTAAGGCCTTGTTCGCATTGTGCCTGGTGAAACAGAACCGTCACATGGCAGTGTCGGCAGGAGCGGTGGAGGCACTGATTGACAAGTTGGCTGATTTCGAGAAATGCGACGCAGAACGAGCTCTGGCGACCGTGGAATTGCTATGCCGGATCCCAGCGGGTCGCTCAGCGTTCGCGGAGCACGCGCTAACGGTGCCTCTCCTAGTGAAGATTATCCTCAAGATATCGGACCGGGCGACGGAGTACGCAACCGGTGCACTTGTCTCGCTCTGCTCCGCGTCAGAGCAGTTACAGAGAGATGCGGTAGCGGCAGGAGTCGTAACGCAGCTGTTGCTGTTAGTGCAGAGCGATTGCACAGAGCGAGCGAAGCGCAAAGCTCAGCTATTGCTTAAGCTTTTGCGGGACTCGTGGCCCGAAGATTCAATTGCCAATTCTGACGATTTTGCTTGCAGTGATGTTGCCCCATTTTGATTCTTGTTTTTGTTTTCCCATCTTCAATTCGACCGACTTCTTTATAATTCTATCTGGTTGCCAAAAAAAAAAAAAAAAGGAAAAAGAAGAAACCGATGATCATGATCTACAGTTGGGTATATAAAACATCTGTATGTAACTAGGAATCTCATTGTATGTAAGAAACATATGTTTAGAACTAGAAAATCCAGGGAGAAGATCTCAGAAAAGAAAAGGAAGGAGCAAGAGAGGAAGTTGTGATTGTAATTTTGATAGAACTACTATATAATTAATTAATTAATGACTGAACTAGATACCACCCTTGACGAATTGACGAAATCAATATGATTAGTTAGTATGTGCGTGTGTGGTGTGAAAGAGAGAGTGTCGAGTAGTTTTGTTTGATCAGCGGCGTCTTAAAGTGGAGCGAAAGTGATCCCATTTTGCAGAGTTCTGAGACATTTTGTTCTTGCAATTATTTTATTTGTTTGCTTTGAGGAGGGAAGGTTAGAGGCATTTTTTCTGATGTGGGGTATTTATGTATGTACACATGGAAGTTGTTGTAGGTTGACGAAACGAACATAAATAAAGACTGTTAACTGTAACACTGCAAGTGCATAGGGCCATGGGCTGATAACGAATCATACTCAGAGAAAGCTTCATTGTAGTTCTACAACGGCAGAATATATAAGAACCCTAAATTTTACAGCAAAAGTCTAGCGTGCTTGTACTCAACACTAAGACTGTAAAGCGGTCCCCAATCCTCTAAACTCAGTTCCCACAATAGAGGAATAAAGATAAAAGCGATCGAAAGTAAATATAGACCGAAGATGCAGAGAGAGGAAAGTAAGAAAGAAGAGAAGAGGTTGGTTTGGACCGTTTGGTGCTGTGTCTCTCGTTTGTTGTCAGTCACATGTTTAAGGAATAGAATGTGGAGAGAGAGAGAGGAGGTGTCAGTCTGCAAGTTGTATGGATTGGAATGAATGTCCCAAGGGGATCACATCAAATCACATGGTCTGGTCTCTTTGTAGATGGACGCTGATTCACCAATCACATGCTTCCCATTTAATTAAATTAGGAAATTGAAAAAATTGGCAGTGGTCACACATTTGATATCTGCGGTCCTCTCTGGGTCTGGGTAGAATACAACCTCAATAATTTTGCGGTCTGCCAACAACTAGGTATTGTTAAAACTCCTACCTCAACTACTGCAGAGAAAGATTAAAAAAAAAGATAGGGACCATATATATATATATAGCAACCTAGTAAGCTAGTTAAAAGCAAAATTTCTCTACTTAATTTTGTTAACTTGATCAGGTGGCCGGTTCAAGGTTGTACCTAGAAAATTAGGCAATTTTGCAATTAATGGAAAAGAGTTGGCAAAGTTTCAATTCCATCGCCCTCCATTTTCCCTAACAGATAAATTATATTCAAGAGGCGTTCAATTTTAAAAGGAAATTAAAGAAAGCATAATGTAACTGATCGTATCGTATATATGGCACCATCATCACTCTCATTGGTGGGATATATAGCTCGTTGACAGAGAACAATATATATCATAAATCTTGCTGCTATTTCCATGGGAATTAACAACCACAAATTCCCTTGGTCACTTGATCTTGCTATATATTAGATTTTTAGAAGTTATTGGAGATTATGGGTGATTTGGCCCGATCTGATGAACTGAGGATACGTGGACATGACTTACCAGTTAGATGATGACTTAGTGCGTGCTTCCGATCATTTTGGCAGATTGATCACCTTGGGTGTCCCACTCACTTCGGATTGCTCCGAGGGTAGGGTATCTAGATTCTAGAAGTTCGTCAACTGTTTACGAGCCCTTCCGAATCATGCCATGCGACCATAGGTCTTATCTTCATCCCGCCTGATTCAGGTGGACACAATGAGGCTTATTAGTCGGCACATTATCCACCTTCCCAAGCAGAACGGATTCCTACTGCTCAGCTCAGGAATCTTGGAGAGGTTTCATGAGGCTCATGGCAGCCCAACTATATAAGAGCACTAGCCCCTTTGACCTATGTACGCGCGATTACTTGCTCACTAGCTTACTTGCATTCAAGCTTTCAACTCGTTATCAAAACATAGTGAAGGGATGAGAGATCCATCACATGGATGGCTGAACCTTGTAGGTAGGTTGGGCGAAATTTCAAAAATTTTTCTCTCTCCCATCTGGGAATCACATTCCCTGTTTTAGAAAAGCTGCATTTTTCAAGGATCAATCTTGAACCAAAAACCGAACCAGATCTGAACCAAAATAGTAGGAGAGGGATGTACCTGATATGAAGAAACAGTATCCTCCAATGAAGGTGTTCACGCCCAAAGAAGTCTCCAAAAACAGCTCCAACTGAAGATGACATAGTGTAGGGTGGAGCAGAATCAACAGTGTTCTTCCCAAGAACTGAATCCTTCAGCAAGAATTCGATGGAGGCAGTGAGCACAACTTCAGATCAGCCTTTCTCCAAAGACTGATATCAAGAACTATTCTTGATCGCTCCTACAAAACTGGAGATTGAACTGGCAGTAGGCGGCAACAGGAGGAGAACGCAGGGAGAAGATGGCGCAGTCACACTGTTGCTGTCTTCTCTCTGTGTAATATGAGATCTGATCTCTGGAATGGAGTATGAACTGAATGGTTCGCCCCCTCCTCCTTTTATAGACTTAAAGAGATCAGCTCCTAATCCCATTAGGAGTTTCCTGATTCAAATCCTTATTTGAATCTAGACTCTCTTTAAGTGATAAGGATAAATCCTTATCTTATTTGCAGATCAGATCAGCTCTCTCCTAATCTCATTAGGAGGTTTCTAGATCCAAATTCAGATCTGGACTCTCTGAGTGGATAGGGATAACTCCCTATCCTATCTGCTGATCCAATCCCAGATCCGCCCCTCTTTAATTAGTCCAATTAAACCAGTTCGAAATGGGCTTTAGGCCCAATAAGTCTTATGTGCTCAGTAACCTTCCAAACTGCTGCCCAGTTGGGCTTCTTTGTATGGCCTGGGACTCAAACATTGATTTACACATCAGCCACATAGGTTCAGCCTAGCCTCTGTTACAAGGCCTGTTCGAATTCACTGAAAAGACAGTGAACCCCCTAAAGCCCATCATATGGACTCTTAATGGGCCCAACACTTACACTAAGTGGTCCCTGGGCCAAATTACCTTATAAAAACCCAGGCACTGTGGGTAGATGCAAGATTAGCCCATCAGGTATTACCCTCAATGGTCTTACACTTAACCTCTCAGCCCATAATGATCAAACACT